GAGGGTCCGCAGGCGGATCCTTGAATGCATCCTCTGTTCATGTGTTTTGCGGCGGTGGCCCCCGCATAATTCAAGATGACCTTCCTGTCTCTGAGATAGCTGCGGACCAGGTTGAAGATGTTCTTTGGGCAATTGGACTTTCTCAGGTTGTCGAGTAGCGCGGGCCACCAGGCCGAGTTGAAAGCGGCCCTTATGTCTAGAGATATCGCTAGGCATGGTTTACGGGCGCTCTTTGCCCGTTCGATATCGTCAATGGCCTTTGGCCAGAGCGTGTAGTGTGGAAGTGTTTCTTTTGAATCCGTACTGATTTGGTGAGTTTCTTGATTTTGTCTCCAAGTGATGATTAATTCTGTTTATGAAAAGTTTCTCCAATAATTTGCCGAAGACAGGTATGAGGCCTATCGGTCTCTTGCTCTTCGGGGATTCAATGTCCTCCTCCGAGGAGGCCTTCGGGATTAGTTTCACCACCGCTAACTTCCAACACTTGGGAAAATGTCCTATTTCCAGACACCTGTTGAACAGATTGATGAAGACGTCAGGCATAGCGCTGAAGGCACTTCTGCAGATGTCTGCCGTCAGTCCGTCCAGACCCGGCGCTTTCTTATCGGAGAATTGTCTTAAGGCCTCGAGGATCTCGTCGTGGCTGAATTTGTGGTCTTCGCCAGAGTCCGGTTCCGTGTCGCTCTCTCTTCTTATTAGCCTTTGCTGTTCGGAGTCTTCTTCGGGGCAGTCCTCCGGGTAGTGGTGGTTCAACAGGATCTTGGCGGATTCCTCCGCATTGTTGGCCATGTACTCGTCGTGGCCGTCGTTCGTGCTGTCGTTCGATGCGATCGCCGTTCTCCCTCTGACCGTGGCCGGCGGTGGGACTGGTCTGCCTGTGGCTTTGATCACTGGATTAACGATCTTCCATATGTCGTCTAGGTTTTTATTCTGGCAGAACTCTCTGAAGCTGGCTGCGGCTTCAGCTCTTATGGCTTCGCTGTAGTTTTGGATTTTCTCGTGCAGCTCTGCCAGTTGTCTTGTTCGAATTTCGTTCTCTTCCTCGCTCGGCCTTCTGTCCCTGACTGTTGTCGTTCTGATGTTTCTTTTCATGTTTACGATTTCCTTCTTTAGCTTTTCTAATTTCTCGTTCCAGAACAACGTTCCTTTGCGCGATTCTCTACTTCCATCTGTGCAGGGGAAGGACGCTTCCGCAGCTAGATTGATAACTGTGGTGAGTTGTCTAACGAAGTCGTCTAATTCGTTCGGGCCGAGTGCGGCTATGTCACTCGGGGCCGAGTCCAGTCTGGTACTGTTTTTGATTAGTTCCTTTCGGAATTTGTTCCAGTTGGTGCTCTTATTGATTCTGTATCTATAGGTAGATTGACCGTGCCCAGGATGTAACGTGGGGGTGTGTCCGCTGACTCCGGTGTTGGTGATCCTTATTCTGTAGCATATGGCTATGTGTTGCGTGGAGCATACTATGTCTTCGTTGGTGTGCCAATTTTGTATAAACCTAGCGGCACTTTCCGTGGACACGGTCAGGTCAATGGCGCTTGTCCTCTCTTCGCCGTGTGTGATGGTTCTGAACGTGATGTCCCCACTGTTATGGCAGATTAGGCCGTTGTGCATGATGAGACTGTCGATGATTCTGCCCCTCGGATTGATGGCCCCCGTTCTGTTCCAGGAGGGGTGCCATCCATTCATGTCGCCGGCTAAGATAATCTTGCTTCCCGGTGAGTTGGTGTTTCTGAGTAGGCTCTCGATCAGCTCTAAGGTTTCAGAGCAGTCCCCCCTGGGGGGTAGGTAGACGGAGGCCAGGTACCACGTCCTTCGGGCCACGTCCAGACGGACTACGGCCAGGTCGGGGGAGGAGTACTGGGTGGCCAGGACAGCTTTTAGCTTGTGCGCTAAGCGCTCCTTCATGTAGAGGAGTGCCCTGACCGGTGCCCCTCCTCTGGTGGTTTGGAACGCGACAGTCCCCCCGATGCCCTTGGCGTTCTTTCCATTGCCCAGGTAGGGTTCTGTTATGAAAGCGACGTTACATTTGTTTTCGGCGAAGAGGTGAGTGATTTCGTGAAATGCGCTCTGCGCTCTGTCCGTGTTGATCTGGAGTGCGTGCAAGTGTTTGGGAATGACTAGAGCGTTTCTATTGTTAGGCATACCTTGTCTTATTATTAATCTTTTGTTTCATTGCCCTCAATCTGGGGCAGGAGGAGTGACTATTGAATAGGTGTCCGGTGTCGCATCTTTGCTTGTATATTAGATTAATATTGGCCGCTTTGCAATTGCTGCATGTGGGCGGGCTATTGATATTGGGACATCTGTCGATGGGGTGAGCGGTGTCTCCACAGTGTCCACACTTGGGGGGGGCGATGCATTGTCTAACTGTGTGTCCGAACAGATGGCAGCCTGTGCATTGTTTAAAGTTCGAGTATTCCTCGATCCAAATCTCCTCGGAGCCCACTCTGACGTGCCCGCTGCATATCAATCTTTCCCAAAGGTAAGGGGCTATAGACATAATCGCGTTGTATCTTGTCGATGCCTTTCTGTTGGTGCCGGTGAAAAGGAAGCGTACGTCCTGTGTGTTTTTCGCTTCCAACCACTCGTTCTGCCGAATGATGGTTCCCGGGAGGTCTTGTGGTTTTATCGAGTTGGATATTCCTTTTAGAATGACCGCCGGACGAAGGTGCTTTTCCCATTCGGCTCTTATGCGCGTTTCCTTCTCATAATAGTTGATGGCATCCATGAACCTGGAGGCGATCGTTTTGTTGTCGAATGCAAATCTCACCTTTCCTTTGGATAGGGGTTTTATGCTATGGTAGGTTGGTTTGATTCCCGCTTTCTTTAGGGATTCTTTGACCTTATCCTTTATGGTGCGTTCGCTTTCGAGGCCTCTTCCGCCAATGATGACTGCAGTCTCGTTTCTGAAGGGCATTGAGAAGCATTTGTTCGCCGGGTTCTTGTCGTTGCAGCCTTTAATTGATTTATGTGGCAGACTAGGGTGGCGGGTAGCAGCGGCAGGTGGGGAGGTAGCGATGTCCGCAGCGGTGGTGGTGGAGACGACGCCGCCAGAGTCAGGGTTTTTTATTGGATTATGGCGATTGCGGCCGCGACGGTCCGCACCTTGGTCTCCCAGACCTCTCATGAATCTAGAGAGGGTGGGGAGGGGGAGGGGGTGTGGGAGTGGGAGAGGGGGTAAAGAGTTCACCGAGATGGTGTTTCCTTTCTTGTCCGCTTGTTTTTTTTGAACAATCTCCGCGTAACTCGAATTTACTCCCGATGTTCCTAGAGCTTGTCGAGGCGTGCGATTTTGTTGTTGTGGGAACGGCGGGCGTGCCAGAGACCGCTGTCCCTGCGACGATTGTTGAGGTCGTTGGGGTCGATGCGACGTAGGGGGCGGCGGCGGTGGCGGCGGTGGTGGGGGGAGCAGCGGCGGCGTGAATTGCGGCCGTGCCTGCGTCCACTGTCTAGGAGGGCGGATGGGTGGTAATGCCAGCAGCGAGGGGATCTCGAATGGATTTCCGCGCCGGGAGGGTTGCTCCTCTGGATAAGAGGTCGGTCCTGCCGTCTCCGAGGGTGGTCGCCAGGGAGTTTGTTTGCTGATCCTCTCGAATCCTACGGGTCCCAGACGCAGGGGAGCGTTCCCCTGGGGGGGTTCGTGTCTCGCCCGCAAAGGTGGGGGGGGTGCGAGCTCGCCGTGAGTAATCAGCTGCTGCCTCTCTAGTTGTGTCGGTGTTGGGTTGCCCCCTTGCGGTGGAGGCCCTAGCCTTTTTGGTTGTTGTTGTTGTTGTTGCTGTTGTTGGGTTAACCGCGGCCGCCCTCGTTGCCGTACTGAGAGGGGTTGTTGTTGCTGCAGTCGTGGTGGTTGCGGAATTGGTTGTGATGCTGATTGCGTTCGTTGAGTTGATTCGTTAGACCTAGGACATTGGTTTTGCAGAACTCTTTCTCTTTGCTGTCGTGCTCGTTGCGTGGTGCCGTTTGTCGGGATGTTGGTTGATAATGGTGGTGTTGGTGGTGGTGGTGGAGCGGGTGTAGGAGCGTTGGTGTTCTCCCGGTGATTTTTGGTTCGCCTTCTTCTGTTGTTTCTTCTTGTTGTTCTCCTTTTTCTACCAGCATTTTCCTTATCCCCTGTGTTGGTTCCTGATTCAGTTTGGGTTTCGGTTTTGGTTTTGGTTTTGGTCTCGAGTTTAGATTGGGTAATCCGTTCTTGCCCGGGAGCGCCATTGGAGCGAAGCGCCTCGATTTGCTTTTGTAATCGGGATAATCGCTGGTCCTGTTCCCGTTGGATCTTTTGATGTTCTCTCAGCGCGTTCATAATTTGAACCAGGTCCGGGTGCTTGTCGCTTCCCCTGATCCTTGGCTCATTTACACTGGTGTGTTGTTCGGGCTCCTTCCCGCTGTTCCCGTGATAATTCCGGTTTCGGTTTCCGCTCATTGTATGATGAGGAGAGGAATTGGGGGAGGAGGTGGTGAGGCCGGTTTGAGGCTTCGGGATGACGTTGCCATTTCTTGTCCCCGTGCAAGTCTCGTTAGTTTTCCGGGTTTGATTCGGAGGAGGGGGGGGAGGAGGCGGAGGGGGGGGGGAGGCCGAGGAGGGGGGGGACACGCGAGAGTGTCTTTTCCGCCTAGGTTGATTATTAGTTTGCGCAGTTGTATGGCTTGTTTTTCTACGTTCATGAGTTCTTCGCACCTATTCCTAATGATTGCAGCTATTCTTTCGGTGTTGTTTGCATTCATGTGTTTATTGATGTTTGTGTTCGCGTTCGACCTGCGGGGCATGTGTCGACGGAGCCCAGTTGCGAAGAGTGGGTCCGTTTTTATTGTACGGGCCGTGCCCGTTCGTGTGCCGGCAAGTCCTAATATTATGGCGTTTATTTTTTTCACTGCCTCGTCTAGTGGGTGCGTGTCTTTATTTGTTTTTGTTTTTAGGTGGTGGTCCGGTTCTGCTCCTTTCCCCTTATTCTGTCTCTTTTCTTTGGTATTGTTGATGTTGGAATTAGAATATTCCTCATCGTGCTTTATTTTCTCCCTTTTGCAGGGCGGAGAGGAGTAGGAGGAGGAGGAGGAGGAGGAGGAGGAGGAAGGGGAGGAGGAGGAGGAGGAGGAGGAGGAAGAGGAGGAGGGGAAGAATGAATCCGAAGGGCGCTCCTGAGGAGCGGTGGGGAGCGAGGAAGGGTCATCCTCCTCCGTTCCCGACGTCTGTAGAGTTGGTGCGGAAGTGGCAGCGGTGACAGAGGCGGCTGCACGGCTATTCGCTGAGGACGCAGGTAAATTTGAGTTTGGTTTGAACTTCGGTTTCGGTTTTGGTTTTGGCTAAGTTTTCGCTGACTGAGGCTCCATAGATTATTTCTGCGCCTGTTCCCTTTGGTGGTGATGTCGCGCTGTGTGAGTCCGCAGGCTGAGAAGGAAGGGGGGCCGGGGCGGTGGAGGAGGAGGAGGAGGGGGGGGTACCCGAGGTCATCTTTCCCTCTTTTTTCCTTATAGGTTCGATTGCAGGTGTTGGTAGCGATCTCTTGCCTATCCCTTTCCCTTTCCCTTTTCCCCCCGCCTCTTTGTTGTTGGTGATTCTTTCCCATCCAGTGCCCTCTGGTTCGCCTGCGGTGTTCTCTCGTTGCTCCCTGAGCCACGACAGTGGTGGGGGTAGTACAGTGCGTCTTGCGGTTTCCCACTCTCTGTCCCCCATCCATGCGTATGAGCAACTGGGAGTATTCCTCCACTCCTCCAAGTCTGGAAGCTCGTCCCCTTTCCCTCCGTCTTTATCACTCGTTGTTGTTGTTGTTTTTGTTGTTTTTGTGCTGGGAGAGATGGTATCCTTTGGAGAGGTGCATTCTGCTGTTCTATCCGTGTCGTGGTTGGAGACGGAGATAAATGAAGACGATGATGATGATGATGACAGTGATAGTCTAGGTGACCTCGGCAAGCCGTCCGGCAATGCCAAAGACGAGAGGGAGGAGAGAGAGAGCGGAGACAGCGGTAGGGGCTCCAATGTTCTTGCGGGAGCAGGGAGCGGGGGTTGTGATGCCCAGATATTTATTGTGTCCGCAGAGTCCGAGTCAGACAGTCTCTCACCCGTAACACCCAAAGATCTGTCCGGTGAGATGGTGATTGTCGATCCGGTGTCCGTGTATCCGTCAGAAGTTATTGTTGAGTAGTCACGGTAGCCGTGATCCTTGGCCCATTCTTCCATCAGCATTTCTCTTCTTTTCCTATTCCTAGTGAGCGGCCCCCTGCGTGCATCACCGTCGCTATCGCCCACGTTGTTGTTGTTATCAGTGACGCGCTTTGAGTTTGTCTCCCCGGGATTTTTATCATTATTATTGTTTTTGTTTTTATTAGAGGTTTTTGTTATTTCTTGATTCATCCTGCCCGTTATTAGTTAAGAGATCTATGTGAGTGTGTGTGTATAATTGTTGTAAATGTGTGTGAGTGTGTGCGTGCGTGCTTGTGTGTGCATCAATTTATTCTAATCAGGTCCTAACAGTACCTTATCTAATCAGTACCGAACTGGGCTGATCCGAACAGCTCAGCCTTAACTATTTGAACAATTAAATCTTAACAATCTGAATCGAGCTACCTTAACAATCTGATCTAATCAGATCACAACTGTACCTTGTCTAATCTATATCTACCTGAGCTGATCTGAACAACTCAATCTTAACAATTTGAACAACTAAATCTTAACAAACTGAGCAATCTGAATTAAGCTAACTGTACTGACCTGAGCCTATCTGAACAGCTTAATCTTAACAATCTGAACAACTAAATCTTAACAATTTGAACTGAATTATCTTAACTAATTGATCAATAGTATCTTATCTAATCTGTATTTGACCTGAGCAGATCTGAACAATTTTATCTTAACAATTTGAACAATTAGATATTACAATCTGAACCGTGTTAACTTACAAACTGATCCAATCGGAACCTAACAATACTTTGTCTATTCTGTATTGTATTGACCTGAGCTGATCACGCTGAGAAATGCATTCCGCATGTCCGCTCCCCCCATGCGCTGGGGTTCACGGGGTCTGTGGGACTCCTCCTGTGGTCCCGCCCCCAGAATGGGGGCTAGACAAAATACAGGAGTTTACCCACTAAAACTCAGCGATGTCCCTCTCATGGTGGGCGAGGCGCGGGATCGGCCCGGAGGCCATACACCGCGCAATTCGCCCCCATTTCGGCCCGCCCTGAAAAGGGCAGGTCCCTCGCGGGTTGGGCGGCACATCTCAGAGACACTTGAGACGTACCCCCCAGACAGGGCGGAGACGTGCAATGCCGGCTAGTGCGCGAACCAGCCAGCTGCCCCCGACTAGGGACTATAGATGCGCGACTGTGCAATCTCTAGTCTCTTTCCCATCTATTGGAAGGACCCACACAGGCAGAGCCCTTATCGTGGATCCCTCCCCCCGTACGGTCGCAGCTACCACCGGAGTACGGCCCGACCACAGCCCTGAAAAGGGCGCTATCAGGCCTCATCAACCGGCTCCGCCGCTCCTCTCTGCGCAGCCCCAAAATGGTATCGCCCGGACCGGCCGCCACACACACCAAAACGGTGTGTATGGCAGCCGAGCCGAGCACCCAGACCGGGACCACAGAGGAAATCCCCTTACCTGCGGAACGCAGGTCGACTCCCCATGTACCTCTCACTAGCAGCGACACAGGCGCACCCGGCAGACGTAACCCTGCCAGGGAACCAGTCAGCTGCTAGCCGCTCCAGCCGTCCCCCCCCCCAAGAGAGACAGACACGCTAACGCATGTCCATCACCTCGGGGAGGTCCTCAGCTGGTACCGCACGAGTACCACGGGGCACGGGAACCAACCGTGTCGACCTCAGGACGGGGGTAGGCGCGCATAGCGACGCCTTCTACCCCCCGTCCTACGACTGCGGAGAGTACCGGCAAGGGCCGCCTCCTCACGGGCTCTCTCCGCCTCCTCCTTCTGCGACATCACGTTCTCGCAGAAGGAGGTGACCGCCTCCCAGGACCTGCGACTGCCCAACATAGACCGAACTACGTTGGGGAGGGACAGGTCCTGGCCCACCACGAGTGACATTGCGTACCGCTGGGAGGACCAAGCACTACACACCTCGAGGGTGTGCTGCGCGGTGTCCTCCACAGCATCGCAATGATGGCACTCGGGTGTCTCCTCGCGCCCTATTCGGCACAGATACTTACCGAAGCAGCCGTGCCCGGTAAGTACCTGTACCAATCGGAAAGTGAGTTTTCCGTGCCGCCTGTCCTTCCACTCCGCAAGGAGAGGTTGGAGGGCGGCTAGGGTGCGGATGCCGGTGGGAGGATGCTCAATGTTTTGGGCCCAGAGCCTCATGAGCTCCTCATTGGCTTGGCGTCTGATCTGCGCCAGTTCCTCGGGGGCTAGACGATCCCCGTTCTCTCTAGCCTCAACGCGTCCCCTGTACACGTCGGCGAGCACACGGGCCTCTAGCTCCCAGGGGGGCATGCCTGCAAGTGCACAGGCCGCACCTCCCGAGACCGTGCGGTAGGCGCAGATTGCCCTGGAGGCGACTATGCGCTGGGGTCTTCTTAGAAGCGCCTTATTGTGGGCGTTTAGGGAGTTGACCCAAACAGGTGCCCCATATAACGCCATGCTCCTAACAACACCTGCGTAAAGGCGGCGGCAGGTGATGTTAGGGCCCCCAATATTTGGCAACAGTCGACCAAGGGAGATGGCAGTTTTCTCCAGTTTAGTTACCATTTGATCAAAATGGTGTGTGAACTGCCATCTTCCATCTAGGTGTAGACCCAGGTATTTGAGGTGTGGTCTCAGGGGGATCCCCACCCCATTCACCCTTAGGTGAGCCCCAGCCGGCGGCCCTCTGCGTGGACCGTGGAACAAGATGGCTTCAGTCTTGTCCACGGCCACTTGAAGTCCCAGCCTTTCAATTCGCCGGATTACCAGCTCCGTGGCCACCTCCGCGAGGCGTCTCGCAGAGACAAAGCTGTCTCCTCTTGCCGTAACGAGGGTGTCGTCCGCATAACAGACGACACCCATTCTAGCAAGGAGAGTCCCACGTATCACCCAGTCGTATCCAATGTTCCACAGGAGCGGACCAAGCACCGACCCCTGTGGAACACCACACACCATACGACGCGTCACCATCCGGCCAGCATTGTCGATGTAAGCGACCTCCCTATTGCTGAGGTATTCCTCTATCACGCGACACAGGTAGGCTGGAACCGCGTGATATGCCAGAGCGTCTCTAATGTATTGATAGGGGAGGGAATTGAACGCGTTACGAATGTCCAGAGACACCGCAACAACAACCTCTCCCCTACCATACGCCCTGTCACACTCTTTCCTCAGCTCTAGTATGGCATCCACCGTCGAGCGATGGCGGCGGAAGCCGAACTGGCGATCCGATAGGTTAGGACCAATCGACTCCAGATGCTGGACAATGCGGTCTGCAACTATTCTTTCAAATAGCTTGCAGACCTCGTCCAGCAAGACCACAGGGCGATATCCGGAAGGCGAATCAGCCGGTTTTCCGTCCTTCCTTAGGAGCACTAATCTGCCCTTCCTCCAGCACCTGGGAAATCTACCTTGCTCGAGACAAGAGTCGAACAAGGCTCGTATGTGTGATCCCAGGTGCTTCAGTGAAAGACGAAGCGCTTTTCCGGGCACCCCGTCAGGACCAGGGGCTTTTTTCTTTAGCCGGAGTCTTTCATCAGCCGCCACCATCTCCCCGTCCGTGACCGGGGAGAAGTTCTCTGCTGTGTCCTCCTCGTGAAGCCTATGCGAGGGGAGAAGAGATGAGACCTCCAGTTCAGCTGCAGGGAACAGCGCCGAGACGACTCTGTCCAGGAGTTCCGGATCCATTTGGTCCGTGGAGGGCGGATGTTGCTTGAGACGGTTCCTAATAAGCTTATAGGGCCGTCCCCACGGATCCCTGTCCAAATCAGCAAGGAACTCCTGCCAGGCTGCTGTTTTTGCCCTGCAGATGGACTCTCTGAGATGGCGCTTTGCATCGGCATAACTCCTCTTGAGGCTGGACTCTACTGCCAGGTCTCTGTTTCTCCTACGCCGTTGACGATGGAGACTTCTTCTCTTCCTCATGCAATCCTTACGGAGGCCGTCCAGTTCGGCGGACCACCAATAGACTTGGTTGCGACTTTTTGGGCCCGTTGAACGAGCCATTGAGGCGTCGCAGACCTCCGTAAGGCATCCTCTTAAGCGCTCCGCTTGCTCGTCAACATCGGAGACCTCAGTGTACGAGTCCAGAACCCAGGCCTGTACTATCGCCGATTCCTCGATCGAGAGAGGGTCCAGTCCCGCGATGGCCCAGCGGGGGAACCGATGCGGCTCAGGGGGAGCCGGTTGTTGGCTGCTTCTCAAGGGAGGAGAGATCTCAAACCGTATATATCTGTGGTCTGAAAGAGTCTCATCCTCCTTGAGTACGCGCCAGTTGATGGCTCTGTCAGCTAGGGCAGGGGTCGCGAAAGTGAGATCCACGATTGAGCCGACCGTCTCACCTCTCAATCTTCTCACACATGTAAATTCGCGACCCCTGTTCAGCAATATAAGTCCAGATGCAGCCGCCCATTCGAAAACTAGTTCTCCCTCGAGTGTGTTTCTGGGGGAACCCCAAGCCGTATGCTTGGCGTTGAAGTCCCCCAGTATGAGCATCCGATTGGACGCTAGTCTGCCCACTACCTCCCCTAGCCTGTCAACCCATGCCTCGTATTCCGAGACAGGTCTAGTGGGAGAAAAATACACGCCAATGACAGTGACCCCCCCCCAAAGAATCGCAACATAACCCTTCCCCCTTTCCCTAATTGTAAAGGGAGGGGAAAATGTAGCGGTGGTGGGAGTCACTATCACCACGGAGTTGTCCGTGTCTGCTGTCCAGTTACCCGAGGCTGGTACAGCGTACGGCTCCGCGAAAATCAGCAAGTCGGCCTTCGCACTGGCGGCGCTCTGGAGGATAAGGTCCTGAGCGCCGGCACAGTGGTTGGTGTTTCCCTGTAGAAAGTTCACGGTGACCCTATCCATCGGTGGTCAACACGTGAACTCCCTCCATTGCCGTTGGTGAAACGGAAGCCCTCTTGTTGCCTCCCCTCTTATGGGCAGGAAGCGGTCGCACTTTAGGGGCAGTGCAACTTTTACTCCCCAGTTTGTGGTTATGTGAACGGTTTGATTCCGCACATAACACACATTTTAGCGGAGCCTTACAGGACGCCGCGAAATGGCCCTCCTCCCCGCACCTGAAGCAGACATTGCTGCGATCAGATTCGCTGGGACAGGTCCTTCTGGTGTGACCCACGCCCATACATTTGAAGCACCTCATGGGTAGGGGCTCCAAAAGACGGACGCGGGCACTGGACCATCCAACCAGAACTTTGCCCT